TTAAACAAATGTGAGTAGTCCGAAATTTTAATAAAATATGCATAAATGTGATGTGGCATTTACAGTGAGTTTCTGACAACTGACAACGTGGAGGTATTGGTAATTTACATGTATACTTCGAGTTTGTGAGCTTACGAGCGACAGCAATTGCAATTCATTATACCGAAGTTAATTTAAAGTAGTTATTTTAGACTGTATTCAACATGAATTACTTTTACGAACTGATTTTCTCTACCGGCAATATCGGAAGGATAAAATTTTAACTACATTCGGTATAATTTGTAAAAATTATTATAAGCCTAGTTTAGTGGTAAAAATTTTCATGTGCTCAAACGTATTAAGCCTTAATCCTTCAGTTGAGCACATAAAAAGATCAGTTTTTGAATGAATTTGGTTGGACCCGCACTTAATATAATGCAATATAATTGTAATTATAAAAGCAAATTAAAAAGCCAAAAAGGAAATATTTAATTATACTTGCTTATGATTAAAACTACCCTCTGGTCTTATGCCTGCTAGCGGAACAATTTTTCAGAGAATTTCTATGAAATAAAGTTGTTTCAAACTTCTTGAGAGAATCAGATGTTTCAAGCGATTCCAAAAATTAAAAAATTAATAATAATTACATGTTAATTCTGTAAACCATATGCTAATAAATTCAAATTTGGCTCTATTTTTTCCTCTTTTGATGAGTTAGTGCAACTAGGTGTGTCTAATTTGGGTTTGTCTTAGCTATTTACACATGGGAAGTTTGACACTCAAACATCTGCCATTCAAATATCAAACTTTTTTTTTTTTGCCAGACACGAAACATGAAATTAGAGTAATTTGATTTTGCATTCCACAATTTTGTTCTCACTCTAAAGGACGAGTTGGACAAATTATGTTATTTGTCTGAAGTAGGCATCAAACTTGATTATTTTGGGTTGACTCAAGTAGATATCTGAGCTCAATACTTGGAAAGGTTAAGGTTGAGCTATCCCAGGTCTCAGAAAACTTTAAGGATCAGTTATTTAAAGAAAGTTTTGCTGTTGTTTGACAAAACTGTGTCCTAAACAATCCTCAATTTAGCTGAATCTTTCATATGAACATTTATTTTTGTGAACAGTGTTAAAAGGGCCAAAGACTGATTCTGGAAGGACATTAACTTAATTAAATTAACCCCTCATAAAGAAAGCCTGAGGCCCACTGATTCCATGAAGCCATGCTTTGGGTTAGACATTGTGTAAATAACCAGCCTTAAAAGTTTCCCAATACAATCTATTGATTCAGAGCTGTCAACAGGAGCAGGAAGCCGGCCAAAACTGCTGGATAGTCTTGCCATCTTGAGTGCTGCTGAAAATTCAAAAAATCATTGGTACCTCTGTTTTGAAATTGTTCTATTTGTGGTTGATCCTTTTCCCTTGATTTACAGGAAGAAAGCAAGGGAAAGACTCTTGAAGGAGCCAACAATCCAGTAACACAGGGAGACATGTTGTCTCATAGAGCCATGTATTATGGCTTTAAAAAAGAATTTCCTAGGTTAAATGTGGTGTCTGAAGAACATGACCACGGTGAAGTTGATTTAAAAGATGTTAAAGCTCCTGATATCTCTACAATTAAGCTTGACGGCAAACTCTATAACAAGGAGGATGAGGTTGTATCTGCTGGTAGCCTTCTTGTATGGATAGACCCGCTAGATGCCACGCAAGAATATACAGAAAATCTTGTTCACTATGTAACTACAATGATTTGTATTGTTGTCAATGGAAAACCTGTGGCAGGAATAATTCATAAACCTTTTCTTCAGGAGACATATTGGGCTTGGGTTGGCCATGGATCCTCAGGTAATATAAATGTGCCACCTGAAAAAGATTCTGCATTGCAAATGCCAAAGGTCATTGTTTCAAGGTCTCATGCCGGTAAAGTCAATGCTACTGTTCGGTCAGCATTTGGTCCACAATCCATGGTGATACCAGCTGGAGGAGCAGGGTATAAGGTGTTGTCACTCTTTGAAGATAAAGCCAATTGTTATGTTCATGTTACGCTAATCAAAAAATGGGACATCTGCTCTGGGGATGCTTTGTTGAGAACACTTGGAGGAAAGATGACTACATTAGATAATGAAGAAATTAATTATGGAGATGGTTTTAAACCAGCTAATGAGAAAGGACTTGTTGCTGCGTTACATAATCATGCTGAGTATCAAGAGAAGCTTGCACACAAGTTAAAGTCATAGAAATGGAACAATACATTAGTTCAAAGTTGTTTATAATTTATTGCCTCTTATACCTGTGTGCAAAAAAAAGAAAAAAGACATGTATTTTGAAATTCAATGCATGCATAATTCCAAGAGGCACCTAAATTAGTTGACAGCATCCTGTCAGGGAACCATTTGAAGAGGAAAATCTTCAATGCTTGGGGTTTTTACATGTATGTTGTGGAGCAACATAAAGAAAGGGAAAAAATGATTTACATTAGATTCTTTAGCATCAATGTAAATTGTTTGAAATTTTTGGGAAAAAACCTGCATCATACTTTTTTATCTGCAGTACATTTAGTCATAATATGCAAATTTTACCTTTGCTGCGAGTGAAACAAATCTGTGGCAGGGATGTCACTTTTGTACACAAAGCATTTTCAAAATACAAGCTTTACTTGTTATTTAAGTGGTATTTAACATTGTATTCAAAGTAAAATTATGAGACATGACTCATAAAACTTCCAGAAGTGATTAACATGTAACTTCTCCCTGTAATTTTCACATATCATACAGCTAACAGGTAATGAGAAAACTCAAACTTGTCTGGTAGAAGTCATCATCTTGATCTAACACCAAAATTCTCATAACTAATTAACAAGAAAATGTGAAGCACCTAGAGGGGAGAAATAGAAATCAGATTTTGGGAGTTAAAGGGTTGATGCCTAAACTTTTATTACAATCACACTTTGGCTTTTGTAGTAGTAATATTTAAGTTGTATTTCTGGTGAGGGTCACATGACCTCTATGAAGCAATCATAACTCATTTTTTGAGAAAAAGGGGAATCACATAAATTACAAGTAACTCTATCCCAAATGCTTTTACTCATTCATGTTTTAATTAGGTATTTAATTAGTCTTGCAAAAACTGAGCAGACTGAAGTAATATATATTTGGGATAGTAACAAATACATTAAATTTTTTTACATGGAATATACCAAAGACGCTGTGCCAGTTACTTTAAAACACTCCATCACAGGCCCTTCACCTCTAGCTCTCAAACAACTCACAGATACAATCAAACATGACACTCTTATTCCCACAGGGATGGTCTTCATATTTGCCAGAGGCCACAACATACAACTTACATTTATGGAAGTCCTCGGAATTATCAGAAGTCCATAAATTGTGAACCCTTCACACATGCATGTGTAGTTACTACTATGAATATTTTCTTAACTGTGAAAAATGACTTACTGTCTTGTAATGGAGCATACCTGTCATGCATAGGGAAAAAATTGAGGCCCTGCTTGGGATTTCATGGGTTCAAATCCCATACAGGCCTGAATTTTTTTAAGCTGCATAATTAGTGTGTTCATTACTGTGAAAGATTGCTTTCAAATTCAATTCTTAATCTGCACTTCACCTATATGGTTTTATATGTATTCAAAGTCGTCAATGGAGAAAATCTTTGCACTAGTACATACAACTCTCTTGATCATCAAATTAGATTTTACTCATGGGTATGTTTTGTTTTTAAAGATTATTCTTTCTGTTTTTTTTTTTTTAATTGAAAAGACCTTTGAGTAAATGACCCTTCATTACAGCATTTTGCAAACTTGTTTCAGGAATGAGTTAGATCCATATTTCCATAACTGTGAATTTTGTTTCTTTTTTTGGGTCTAATAACCCACGTTCATGCTTTAAAGTGATGCATCTTTTTTTCTAAAGATGGTAGTGTTGTAAACTCTATGTGAAGTAACACAAAACATATTTTCACCATGTTGCTCTTGGGAAAGTTTAAGAAGGATTTTGTTCAAAAGAAACTATTAGGTGCAAATGTTTATCAAAATCTATCTTCTGATCTTAACAATAAGTAATCTGAGCATACACCACTTTGTATATCTGACTGTCAAGTGAAGGTTTCCAAATTGGCAACTGATGTTGAATATTTAGTCAAATGAAGCTCAAACTGTGCACAAACAGCTCATTATCACAACAGCCCATGTAGCAAGAATGCTGGCCTTGTCATTGTGCAAAGATCTTTATATTTTTAATTGGGTACTTGACCTACTGGTAACCCTTCCTCAATGCTTTTAAATTCCCCACAATGACTAGGATCATGTCCTTCATTGAACACATTTTGCAATCTTCCATGAATGCACACAAAACTCCATGGTAGAAAGTCACCTATTTGGGAGTAAACTGGCTTTTCCCAAATGAACAACTAACACTACAGGTTAGGCAAGTTATAATGGTAATAAAACCAAGTGGAGTCCAGTTCCGTCGGTAATCATACAAGTGATTGACAAAATTGGACAACCACAAAGTAGGAGTCTGATTTGTCAAACACTTTTATAATTACTGACAGAATTGAACAACACCAAGTCCTGTTACCAATTAATCAAAACAATGACAAAAGTTAAGAAACTGCATGATGCACACTTACACAATCATGATTCGTTAAGTGTCACTTTAACTGTCCTATTACAGTACAGTACACTGTCCAACTACAAGCATGATCTGTAGAAACTCTCTGCCATGTTCAATTTACATCAACAACTCAGTTGGTTAACCAAATTATGTTGTAACATGCTACCAACACAGCACCACAGTTCCTCTAGAAAGTTACCCCATTTATTAATTTGAGGTAGACACTTGTTTAAAGAGATATTGTTTGCCCAAGGTAAAATAATTTTAACAGATTTCACTTATTTTTCAAACCCTAAAAGGGGATTTGGACTTAAGATGCCTTGTATATGCACAGGATCCCCACTGTCTGCTGAAAATTGTTAGATGCACTACTACTGAAGATCTGACATGACCTTTGAAATTTTTTATTTTAAATCACAAGAAATTTTTATGAATTTGCAGCTTCTGTCCAGTTTGGCCAGTAAGCATCTTCCAAATAAGACTGGCCGCCTTTGCCTTTAATGTCCTTTTCCCACTGAACCTCACACTTCCTATACAACAGCATAGCAGCTCTAGCATCTTCCACGGAACAATGTTCGTTCACCTGAATGTCCCACTTCAACAACTGTCTGGTAAGTCGTTTTAAAGATGGCGTAGAATTTCGCGGAAAACTGGCCAAGGCTCGTAACGGTATGTGCTTTGAAGTGTCTCTGACAAGATCCGAAGGATGTTTAAGCTTTAGAACTTTCAGATCGAACTGTAACGCATGTCCCACGAGTTTACGCTTCTTTATTAATCTTTTGACTCTTTTCCTTGCCAATCGGAAGGAGATCGCATTGTCCATGTCTTTGGGTCGTATTCCGCTCCACTGTGTTCTATAGTCTGTAATAGGTTTATCAGGTTTGACATGAACGTCGTAAAGAACGTCACCGTCGTAGTTAACAACGCTACACCGAGCTAAAGCACTCGTCTTTTCGCCACCAACGCCAACCATCTCACAGTCTAAGGCAACAGGACTTAAAATTTTTGACTTTTTGCAATCACTGTGTACTGTATCAGAACTAGCAAATTTTCGATTTTTCTCGCAGTTTGAGTCGCTTGTATCTGACACTTCCATACCAAAAGCTCCTCGTGCCATGATGAATCGTGAAACGGTAAGAAGTGGCAAATATGAGCCAACTGTTATGACGCCACGTGGTGCAACACAGTCGCCATCTTTTTGATTGCGTAACCGGAGAGACTGGTTTCTAGTTTAGGATATTTAAAGCATACAGTCCGCAGTGCATGCTAGTTAATTTTCTCTTGGGGGGGGGTGGGGGGAAGCTTTGGACAAAGCACTGAAAAGAGAGGAAAGAAAACCTTTGGAATCTTGCATAAAATATGTGTTTTAAGCATTGCAATGATGAGGAAACTGCTCTATCTCACAGATTTATCAGTCCTTATGTCATAAGTCGTCCAGTTGCGCAAGAGATTCAAAAAGCGCCCACGCTTTAATAAGCTCCCTCCCACCCCCTTAACCATAGTATGCTAAACAAGCACCCCCACTCCTCTCTCATTTTTTTAAATATTAGAGATTTAAGGACAATATGTTTCCATTGTCACTTTATTCAAACATTTTTGTTTAAACTACAACGGAATCAGCGCATGAGAATAATAATCGCCCCCTCCCTCCCCCCCCCGACTATTAGGCGCTCTCCTTCCAATAGGGGCTGCGCCCTTCTCTCAACCGAAATTTTAAATAAGCATCTGGGCGCTTATTTGAAGAAACAAGGATATATGACCTCGACGAATTGAACACAATGAAGCGGCAAATTCGAATGAAATGTATCTTTGTTTATACTGAACATGAATTAGGCATCGGCCACTAAGACAGTACTCCAATAAAAAAAAAAGAGAGAAAAACGACATCAACAGTAACAACTAAAGCTTTGCTATCGCCCTGGCTGAAGACAATAAGATACAGATCACAATATTTACATGACGATCTTTTTTTACCGCAATAATTCTTAGCTATTATAACCGGCATGCAAATGTGTCCCATGTACAGTAAATATTTATTTACAGGCGAAATTGATGGCAGTTTTTCATCTTGAATTTCTTCCGGGAAGAGATTTAAGTTGCCTAGCTAAGCTAAACCCTTCATAAGGAGAAAAGAAGAAAGTCACCCGAACTTGCTGCAGCAATGAGGATGCACCGTTTTGGGAGACTCCACCTGTGTCTCAGAATCAATCAAAACTGCGTCATCTGAGCTATGACATAATGTATTGATTAATATCAATAAGTTATTCCCTAGTTGAAACTTCTTAAGCTCTTTGTACAAATTTGAAGCATATATCTTGAATATGACAACGTTTCATATTTCATTCCCTGAGAAATAATCCATTATCAGTTTTCAAACTTTTTTTTAGAAGCCAAGTTCATCACTTACGCCCCCGTACAGGAGCTGTTTGCGGGATTTGTACGCCGGGATACGGGTTGGGGTAAGGAAAGGGCGGCCGATAGGGACTGACTGGCAAGGGTGGCTGCATCGGATAACCTAGTTGAGGAGGGCTGACTTGTGGATACAATGGTCTTTGTTCTAAAGGTCGAAGCCCTGGAGATGCGGGTTGTAGACCAGCAGGTGGTAGCCGATACTGCGGAGGGGAAACAGGGTATGACTGATAGGCTGGCTGCTGCATATTTGGAATCGGATATCCCGGGTTAATCAGGGGAAGAGGCGATGAACGGGGAATAGTTAAGGCAGGTCTGTAGATTCTTATCTTCCAAGGTGTCTGAGTTGATGGCATGGGAGTGGAATAGTAAGGGTAGGAAGACTGTGGAGGATATCCAAAATAAGGATAGGTTGGCTGTGGTATAGTGACTGGCGGAGGTTTCTCGTGAGACTTTTCTTTGCCGCTCTCAGATTCCTTCTCTGACTCCTTCCCCTTCTCTTTACTTTGTGAACGTGGCTTGGAAGCCGCAACTGTGGGTTGATAGTATTGCTGGAAGGTTGGCTGGTAGAAAGGCATCGGAGGATTTGGCACGGGCTGGTATGGCTGCTGGAAGGGGTACGAGGTGACCACCCCTTGTAGTTGTACCGGTGACTTCCCTTGACCAGCTTGTGGCTTCTGCTTCTCCTTTGTATTTTGGCCCATTTGCAAGAACTGTGGTGGAGGCTGCTGAATCATCTGCTGAGGCTGCGGAAAAACAGGCCAGGGCTGCGGATACGCTGGCCTTGGGATAGCCTGGTATGGCTGTGGTGCTTGGTGCTGGGGTTGTGGTTGACGCGGTAGAATTAAGAACTGTGGCGATGGAAGTGTGGCTGGTCTTTGCGGAACCTGGTAACGAATCTGTTGCGGTTGCACAGGGATTGGGAAAGGATACGTTTGCGGTCGTAGAGGGACTGGGTAAGGGGACCGGATGGGAGTCTGTGGTTGGTATTGGCGTTGTTGTGGCCGAGGTGGAACTGGATATTGGTACGGCTGCGGTTGAGGTGGTAATGGGTATTGAGGGGGTGAAATTGGGTACTGATATGGCTGTTGCCGCGGAAGGATCGGGTAAGCGGGCTGTGGTTGAGGTCGGTACTGAAACTGGGCCTGCTGAGGGGCTGAAAAGGGGTTTGGTGGGGGATAACCTTGTATTTGGCCTGCTGGAGAACCAACCATGTTGTAACCAGGCTGTTGTGGTGCTCCATAAGAGCTTTGGAAAAACTGCTGGCCAAATGAATCACAGCACCATGGGCTACAGGCGGCCGGCATGCATTGCGAATTCATGCAATAACTGGGACACGTCTCTGGAGTCTGGTCCACTGCAGGAAACAAATTCAATAAGAGCATTAGTTTTTAATTAAGACAGACATTCCACCCTCCGAAGAAACAAAGAACGAATATCTCTGTATACATTTAACTAGACAAGGGAGCAGTTCGTAAACTTGATGATTTTCCATTTAATTTACCCAAGGTTTCTAAAAATAATAAATTGCTGATAACCTTTGCCACACTGGTGAAAGCGAAATGGGACTCAACTTGACGCGAGCGAGTAAAGCTCAAAGGACTGTGGGGCTCAAAAGAGGGTGCGCGTCAAACACGCATTGGAAAATGGAACAGCTGATGGCGTGGCCTTTTGACCCTCGCCGCATTCTATTTATCCGGTAGATTCCGTGTTGCGGAATGGCTGTTCAGTTTCATTTGAAAGGTGGCGTAAATTCAAAATGTGGTAACAACGAAACGAGAAACGAACTGCATGGCATCATGCATCTGTATTCCAATAGATCATACAAAACGTCCAATCACAGTGCAAGAGGTTTTCATTTCATTGTACACCTGCACTTGGTGTTTTTTTCCTTTTCTGAACACTCACCCACAATCAAAGTAGCGTTAACAAGCTGAACTTTTTCCCCATGAAGAGTTCCGGTGATGACACTTCTTTTTGATGCACCATTTCCCTGAATAGAGTCTCGGAGAAACTGGATCGGATCAGCTGGGGAGGTGTCATCAGGAGTGAAGCGTAGTTTGAAGTATGCCAGGATTTTGTCTTCATCTCCTTTGCTATATGAAAAAGTAGAATTGTGAGTGAGAATTGAAGGTTCCAGCTGATTGACAAAATGTAAAGAAGGAGCTATTGGAATTAACTAGAAATGGCATTGGGAATGGCGAATGATACCTTAACGAATTGTATGTATCGCAAATTTCTTGATCGATTTCGAAACAGTGTCAGCTCTTGGGTTGTGTTAAGAATACAGAGCGCTCTATATTCGTCATGAGTTCTTGCGTTTTTCGCCCAGATCTCAAACTCAGGGATTTGTTCGTAAAGCCGATACTCTTCCCCCTAGCCCTCTAGGTTAGCCCAGCTTAGAGTCATCGTTGTGGATGACAGAAGTCTGTGTGTGGCCGCTGAAATTTGAAAACATTGCGATGTAGAAGCTGATACATCGCAAAATGAGTTCGAGAAAGGGCTAACAGCTGGTAGAAAACATTTCCATGCAATTAATAATACCTTGCACTCATTTGAGTGTAGCATCAGTGATAATAAGGAATTCTTGGGGTCTCGCCGATTTTCGAATTCGGCTATTTGCCACTTCTAGTTATTTTTGTGGAACTAACTTTTGATTTTATTGCCAACCAAGATTCGTATTTTTCTGTTACTTCGGATTTAACTAAAAATGAGGTATTTTTATGTTGTGGCTTGTTATGCAAGAGATCTTCACAATGAAAGTATTACGTGACTCCCACAACTTGTATCGTTCCAGCCTTACCTGAAGTGATCCACCGTGACTTGTTCAAACCAATCAAAGTCACCGTATACATCTAGAAGCTGTCGATCAAACGAAAATGTTTAGAAACAAGGTCGGCTCTATCACACCAAAGATATCCTACCTGGCCGGGCTACTAAGCCTGATCACTTATTGGATGGATTTTAATTTTTACATCTGCTTCTTTCATCAGTTCAATTTTCGTAGTGTGTCACATTATTATTGACATTTTGAGAGAATGGATGTTGATATATTTATTAGGATAACGGCGAAGAGAAGGGAATAGTCGCCAGACACTGTGGCGTAATGGGTTATCCAGATAACGTTCCTAATGGTCACTTAAGGCGGCTCTATCGATTAAGAAAAAAAAAAGCATTACGAAATTATTCTGTCGCTTACCGCTTCTTGGATATGTCTGCTGAGAGCTTGGTACCTAGGAGTTCCCGGAACGTAAAGGTTGTCGGTCCACAACTTGTTTTGGTAACGAAGAATCACTAAGTATTCGGTTATGCCTGAAATAAAGGGTGTGACTGGTAAGTAAGGAACAAGCTTATGACAAAACAAATTCCTGCTTATCTCTTCATCCGTGACTTTTTCTTTGGCGACGTTTAAGTTTATATCGATGTGGCCTGTCAAATCTACTGCAGGTGTAATCCGTAAGGTACATATATGCGTCAGCTATATGAATTTCAAAATATGGCAATCATCTATTTACGACAACTCAACGTTGGAAGGAAGATAAATTAATTATTGCCCTGGTTGGCTGAAGAGATATTAATCTTGATGGAATGAATGATCGACCGCATTACTTATGGACTGAGCGAATGTCTGACTGACTGATGAAATGACTGACAGACTGACTGACGGGCAGATAAAAAGAATGATTGACTGACTAATTGATTGACCGACTTCTTGCAGGACTGACCCACTGGCCCGCAGTAGGTGGTCTGCCCTGAGAACCTTTGCTACATCAAAGATCGATGTAGTAAAGAAATTTCGTTTTAATCATCGTCAATTACACCGTTTATTACCAATCAGTGAACGTCCATCTAAAATGTGAGCACACGCATAATGTAATCTAAGAAAATACGTCATTTTTTCTATTCTTATTTGCTCTTTCAATGCTGCCTCCTCTTCCTCCCATCATGGAAGGGGAGGATGGAAGGGAAAGGGGAGGATGGAAGGGGAGGATGTGGTTTCACTGACCTCTCAGCGGTCGCTTGCAAACGAATCCTCGCGATCCATCGCAAGCCTTATACTTCCAGTTAAAGTTGGTAAATATGACCCCACACTTTTTTCCAGGAAAGTTCTTCTGGTAGAAATCCCAATTCATAAAGTGAGGTGGGCTTCCATCCAGCCATGACAGGACTCCGTCGTTCGTCAAATCGCTCACCCCGATCCAGGCATCTGAGACACCAGCTGAAGTCTGTAAGAGAGATAAAAAAAATGTTACGCTCATCCACTCATATCTTTTGTTTTGAACAGGAACTCGGGAAGTATCTTCAACCACGTTCCTCTATGACAGATTCACTGGTGTGTGGTGTAAGCGAAAACAGGGGAAAATAGGTCCATGGCATGTACGTGTGTCATGGGTGCTCTATTCCCATTTGTCACCTAATTTTGTGCGCAAGCACACACTATCACTATTGTCTTGGGATACCTCCTCACCGTTGAAGTTTTTTTTTTTAGAATATTTTCTTCTTAATGCTGAAATGATCACCGTTTTAAAGGTGGCATCTGCACGGCCAGGCCTATCAGCGCGAGCAGAGGATCGTGATTACAGGCAGTGAAAACGCTGCTAATATTCATCCCAAATTTTCACTCAACCGAATGTTATAAAAAATGTTCGGAGAAACTCTGGGACATTTTAATCAATCTTCCTAGTTTTTCTAAGTGAAAGATATTGAACGAATATCGATTTAAAAATTAGCCATTTATTGAAATCTCTTATGCAGGCCTGTAAACCTCCATTATGCTGTGAAGGCTTGAAAAAAGGCTGGCGAGAAAAAAGTTTTTCCAGTGCAGTCAGACCTGATGACTATGAATGATAATTTCCCTGATTTTTAATGTTGTTTGCTTCTGTAGTCATCCTTACCAAAACAGTTTTCACGAAAATATCCTCAGCCTGACTCCCAATCGATGCAAGAGTGGCAAAGTCCGCAGCGCATTTCTCCGAGGCTTGAACCCAGTTCACTGGACCGGGGAAGTATTTGTAGCAAATGTTGTTGTACAGTTTATATCCATTGGGGCACTTTGCTGTAAAAATTCAAATCAGCTTGATAAATTGTAAGAACTCAGAGATTTGTCAGGTTATTGTAAAAATTCAAATCAGCTTGATAAATTGTAAGAACTCAGAGATTTGTCAGGTTATTGCACTGGGATGGTTTATCATTACCAATTATGGCAAGGAGTGTCAAAATAAAAACAATCTTACATAGTCCTTGCTTTCCAACACCACTTCCTGAAAAAGAAAAACATTTGGAAAAGTATAGTTATCGTGCTATATCATGAAGAAAGATGTTATTCAGTGAACGACACAAGTATGCTCAGACAAAAGGAACTCCGAGTGCTCCCAACTCGGAGTAAAACCTTCGATCTTCCGATTAGTACTTGGGATGCTCTATCACTGAACTGTTGGAGACTCGTGGCAGGCTAGCTAGATCGTAATGCTAGGTCCTCGGTGACAAACTTCCTTCATACTATTTGGATAATAATGTTGATATGGTGGTTATGTGCCATGATGATGTAAATGATGATGGTTATATGTGCCTTTTTTTAACAGCTTTTTTTTTTGACAAACAAACCTGTCACTGGGAGCACATTATGCAGGAAGTTTCCTTTGTTACCAGGAGGGTTGAACAAGGCCACAATGTAGGTTTTGCCGGTTGAACTTTTCGCCTTTCCAATGCCGACTTCCTGAGACCCAACCCAGACAAGCTGGGTAAAATAAGAGGATTTCAGAGATTCCTTTGCGCTGTGAAAATCATAGAATCTAATTTGATTATACCACGACTGCACGCTTTTAGTTGCGACGTCTTTCTCGTCTTTGGTCGAGAAAATGTTCTGACCATATTTGGAGTTGACGTCAATCTTTTCCTTGTCCTGATTGGCCAGTTGAGTTGCCCATAACTCGGCCTTGTTAGTCAGGTCGAGTGAGAGCTGGAGAGGAGCGGCAGCGTGCATCAAACGATATTTGTTCATCAACTGTAATTCCTTTTCTAAGAATTCTTCAACCCCTGTGAAGGAAAATGAATAAATTTGATTTGTTGGTTTAACCGAAAAATTAACAATATCTTCCTTATGAACCACGATATTTTGCGGTCAGTTGGTTTAATCGTAATTTGGAGCGAGAAGGACATTGTGTCCAGTTAGATGTCTTGTCTCTTTCTAACAATACTGGTCGAAAAAAAAATAGCAGACCTTCTTTTTCAGTAAGTCCAATTCCTTTTTTTACAATTACAGTTACGTACTCAGATAAGGTAAAGCTGCATCTGCAAGAAGCGTCATGATACAATTTGACCCTCCGTTATTCCAAAATCCACTGATTTAATCCATTAATTGGTTTCGCTCCAAGAAGAATGGGTCAGACGTTGAAACAAAAGTGATTAAATAACTAATTGGGTAAAACTCATCTATGGAATCAGTCATAATTCATCGACTGAGAATGGCGGGGGGGTGGGGGAGGTGGAGACTTTTGGAGTATCGCATTATTTTAGGGGTAACGGAGGAGTATCAATCGTTGTCTGTGTGTGGGGGTGAAAATTACACAGCCTTACCCCAAAGGTCTTTCGTCTATTAAAATTTTAAATTAGTAAAAATATCTTTCAGCAGCGGGTGTGGGTTGCTTTCTGAAAGAATGACTATTGGAATAGTGGCTTGGAACTTCAAAAGACATCCTCACATTACCTGACGCCTTCTGAAGGTCTTCGGGGATGGGAGAGGGGGCAGCTTTGATGGTCACCACGAACAAAAACACAGTTCCAAAACACGTTCGGAGAAACATGGCTGACAAGTCTCTATCGTTAAAAAGTGAAACGATTAAGAGTTAGCGTTATGGTTTTTCTCGTTATCAACCATAGTTTCAGGATTTTCATGTGCAATGACATCTAAGCATAAAGTTTTGAACTGACTGTACGCGAGTAAGTTGACTCGAAATGAATATGGACAGAGCGTAGAGAATGCGGTTCTTAATCATTACTTTCTTTAAAAGAAACGGTGAACAATGGAAGCAATTTCTATTAATATTATTGCTTTAAGCGGGTTTAAAGTGAAGTTTTGCACAAGATTTGAAGTTTGCCTCAGTGATTTTTCTCATCCGCTTTTCTGACAACTGATAATACTGCCACCAAAGCGGTGGTCTAATGGTTAGTGCGCTGAACGTAGAGAAGGGAGTGAAACAAAGCCTCAATAATTTATTTACGATTTTAAATGAGTCTCAGAAAATTTGCAAGGAATCTAAGGAAGCCTGAAGGGAAGGGAAGGTGGAGGAGAGCGTAGAGCGTGCCACCGTCGTGGAGGAGTAGCAAAATATTCCACGTTACTCCATGCTTGGGCAATCGTCGATGGATCCGGGAAAACGGGACACTTCACTTCACTCGTAAAACAGGAAGCTAACTCTACCCAATCAACCATGCAATACCCTCACGGGAAAGGGGAGGTACCAGATCAAATAAGTCATTAGGCAAACACCTTAGTTGCTGGTGCTTCAACGCTTGCAGTTATATAAATTTATCTTCATTATTTCCTTTTCGATGAAAAAACTAAAGCTGACAGTAATTCTGAAAACCTTATTGTGCATATGAATGTCACTTAACAATATTGTTCACTTAGTCATAACTGTAAGGGGAGCAGAATTAATCTTATCACAATCTTTCTATTAGGACCTTTCCTTATCTATTAATAGTATCAGCGGCTAGTTAGGCAGACTTCGACTACAGATCTCGTCGTCACATAACTTTTAATTTTGAACTGAACAATTAAAATGAGTTTTGAGATTTGATTTGAATACGTTTCCGTCCGCCTTCGCTTTTCCATTGACATCAAAATAATATGTCCCTGTCGGTTCTCATTTGTCCGTCACCAGTTACTCAAAACAGGTAAGTTTTTCTACTTTTATAATAAAAAAACCACGAAGAAGAAGAAAAAATGTCATGTTGGACTAAAGTTTCGAAGCATATACAATCTCGAAACAGAAACCAAAGATCCTAGCTGCATGAACCGCACCCAAAATGCACCAATTATAATCTCATAGTTAACTTGATTGCGAGTGGCAGACTTGTCAATAAAAACATCTTCCCACAGAGGAACAATAAAGCGTTCAAGGTACGTAAATTTATTGCTATCTGTCAGACAATGTAAACAAAAAGTTGTCTACCAATATCTTCGTTTTGTCGAAAAGTGTTTTCTAAATAAGACTTACCTCCGCCAGTCAGCTCTCTGATATCCCGGCGTGAATCAAAACTTTTTGAAGACCTGTAGACGGAACTGAGAAACCTGTAGTCCTTAAGTGTTTGATAATTTATGAGCAAAAGCAACGGAAGTTCGACAAAAAAAAACGGGACTCAATTGGCCAGCGTGATACCTGTTTATTGTCTCTCCACGATTCACTTGACAAGTATTGCTACATCAAATAGCATATTACATGTTTTGACACTTAGCTTTGATTGCGCCAATTTAGATCAAACCTCAGTCTTTTAGCCGAGAAAATAACTGGCTTTTATTTAATCAAATTGAAACCATTTTTAAAGTTTTGGTCATGAAAGGCTGGAAAGTGAACTAAAATTGACAGCTGACCAGTTGTCGTTCGTCTTAAAATTTTTGCTTCACCCCAATTTTTTTCTTCGCTATCATTTAGCCTCGGGTCTGCATGGTTAAGAAGCTTCCGGTGCACTGTTATTTCTTAGAAGGAGCTGGTATCCTTGGTGGTTTGTATCTGTAGACGGATTATAAGCGGGAAACGCACAACGTTACCGAACAAACTGCATTGAGAAGGTAACAAAACCATATTTCATTACCTGAAAAAGAAAAAACACAAAACTCAAACTCTAAGTCTAATTGTAGATGGAACTGAGGAGACAATAAGATCAGACTTCGATAACAGGGAGCACAAGCTCTCCATGAGAAGACAATATTATATAGCTTTTTATGGGAGTTTAGTCTCCACTCTGTAAATCCGTAAATAATGAAGCAAATAGACTATCTAACCATCTAACTGTCATATAGTGTCGTTAGTGTTATTTTTGTTCTCTGGTAGCAATTTCGGGCCATTTCGATGAGTTCTAGTCGAGCTTTCATCCCACTTCTGTCTGCACTAAGTACTACTGTCTTGGATCACAAAAGCCTCTGGTATAATGTACCACTTCCAAGCTGCTACAGCGTTTACTGCCATGAGATTGTAATCTCTTGGTTTGACCAAGAATACCATGACTACTTCAGGGCAGGCAGTAATGGGATGAGAGCTCAGCTTAAACAAATATTACGATGCTATATGAAGTTAGAGTTTATTTCTTTTATTATTAGCGGAGTTACAGAGCGGAACCCACACTCCCATACAAAGCTTTATAATATTATCCTCTTATGGAGAGCTTGGGCATCCTGTGCTTTAATCAGTTCTACCTCGCAGCCGGTTGGTTAATAGAGCACTTTCCACTTGCTAACGTATTTGAAAAGACAACTAATAATCTTTCAGTTCTGAGACATCCTCTCCTGGTTCTTCTCTGGGCACTGTCATCACTGAGTCTTATCAAGGCAATGATGAAAAGAATTGGAGGGGGCTCATTAGCGAGATGCAAATAGTGA